GCTGTCCTTGCTGGCTGCAGGCGTGCCATGGGGCTGGGGCGGGCCTCGCTGGCTGCTCACACTCCCCAGTAGCAAGCTCAGCCTTGGCTGGAAGAAACCGTCTTCCCGTCCGATGTGGATGTGCAGCTGGGAAAGAGGAACCAGGCTTGATGGGCTTGGCAGTGTGCAACACCATCTCCAGCCAGGGCCACCATCTCAGCCTTCCCATCGGCGTGGGGCTGAGCCTCCCATGCCCCCAGTGCCTGCCGTGGTCCCATACTGGAGAACCCAGCCAGAGCCTGGTCTGACTTCTTACCAGGTTCATTTTTGACGTGGTTCATAGTGCTGTTGTGCAGACGTTGATGTGCCAGCAAAGCCACCACTGGCAGGCATCATGGTAGCCTGGTACTTGCCGGGCTGTGCTGGCAGCCACACTGCCCAGGCCGGCAGCCCCGTGCCTGCGGAAAGCCCCAGCAGTGGGATGATTTGCAGCTGATAAAGCTTCCTGCAGCCAGCTCCCAGCCTGGGGGTGGTCCGGAGTGGGGCCTTTCCCAAGTGAAATTCGGCATTGCCTTAAAAAAAAACAACCCAGAAAACCAACAACAGCAAACCCAAACCTCATCCGGAGTCTCCCTTAGAAAGAGCATGTTAAAGATGGCAAAATTATTCCGTCTGAAGATTTGCAGTTTGTTCTGGAAACTGGCCGTGAGTGCGCCATCAAAATGGTATTGAATTTTGGTTGTGGTTTTTTGTGTTGTTTTTTTTTTTTTTTTTAAAGATATAAAACCTCCTCTGTAACCGTTCTTGCGGCGCTAAACTCGGATGATACAAATATAGCAGTTACGTCACATGATGGAAAACTTGCTCTCAGTGGTCCCGGCAGTGACACGGTGGTTCCTTGGCCGGCGCGGCTCTGCCCGCAGCCATCCCTGCCTGCGCTGCCCCTGCCTTTGAGCAGAGCCTGGAGACCACCACCACCGCTGGTTTTGCACACCTAGTGCGGGGTGAGATGGAGGCAGCCGGAACAGTTCTGGGGGTGGGGGGGGGTAGGACCCCACCAAGAAACCCCCACCACTCGTTTTGGGATCGGCTCAGTGGCTTGAAGGGTTGCACGCAGCTTGCTATAAAATGCAGAAGTGTGTTAATCTGGCTGCCGGCTTGCTGCTCTGGTGCCTTATCTGCCTTTGCATACCGACAACCAGTTGAGAATGGGTTTGCTTGCTCTGGAGGCGAGCCAGTGCAGAAATTTGGTGTGTGCTCATCGAGACTTGGTTTGTTTGGGTGGTTTTTTTCTCCTGCCAGGGGTACAGCTTGAATTTCGCTGTCCCTTTATTTCTCTGGTTTGGAGTGCTGGGCTCCCGTGCTGTCTCATCCCTTATGTCTAGTTCAGCTTTTCCTATCCCATGTGGTATCGGGAGGGGAGAGGTCCATGGGGGCCGAGGCCTGTGTTGGTGCCCGTGCAGGAGGAAGCAGATTTGCAAACCCTGTGTGATTAATTGCCACATTTGCTGACAAATCTCCCCAGGGTTTGAGGAGGTGCACTTCTTAAGCAGCTGAGAGCGTTTCTGCTTTAGACATTGGTGTCAGCAAAGTTTGGCTGCTGGAGCCTGAACTGTTTCCGTAGAATATGGGAATTAAAATGAACCAATTCCCTTTCCTCTGAGGGCTTCCTTGATGTCTTGAGCACCTTCCCTTCCGAGCTCTGTCATTTTTGTAAGAGCTAGGGAGTGGGGAGGCTGGGGCAGTAATCCTTCTGCGGGGCCTTGGAAAGTGCGGTGGCCCCTGTGAAGGGCGTGCTAAGGGGTGCCTCTGGCACAGCGCCTGATTTTGCATGGCTTTGGGAGGGTAAGAGGAGGCTGCAGAAATGGCTGGGCATGGCCTAGCTCCTCTCGGTTCCTCTCTGCCGTCTGGTGTCTTCCCCTCCCCTTCCTCCATGGTCTCTGACCTTGTCCTGGCAGTGGCATGTTCTCCTTTTCCTGCGGAGGGACAGAAAGCAGCTTTATGCTCAACTGAAGAATATTTTTAGATATAGAGAAGATGGCCTGGTGACTACAGCAGCCCGCCCTGTGTATGAAATGCTTGGAAAGCCCTTTCTGCGGCAGGGTGTTCCTCCTCCCTTCAGCTCTGCAGCTTTGCTGGTGCTTCCAGATGGATGGCGATGGCACAGGCGGGCGCCTCCA